ACAGACATGACAGTTCAACCTAGTGACTGCAAAGACAGAGGTGGACCCAGGGATCTCTGGGACCTTTAGAAGGTGGGGGAGAAAGCAGCCAAGGAATGCTTCTTAGAGAAGGAGGTGTCTGCTTGGTGTTTATTTAGTACGTACATATCCAAGAGGAAAAGGCCTGGTCTCTGCCTTCCAGGAACCTATCATCTAGCTGGGCAGATGAGACCCGGCCACAAATCATACTACAAGGCAATGTGTATCGAAGGTGCTATTTGTCTGCTCGAGATAAGGCAGCTTCTGGCAGTTTACTGTTGAGAGACGACATGCAGCTTAGTCGGGCTGAGGTTCACTGTGTCCCCAGCACCTGCTACACCACGGGTGTTTGATAAATAATAATGGAAAGTAGGCAGGCTTCAGAAAGCAGCAGTGGTGTCATTATTTAAAAAAGCCTTGGCCTCAGAATCAGAGGACTCCTAGCCTGGCCCTGCCACTAATTAGTTATGGGAAAGTCCCTTAATATCCTTGACCCCAGTTGCCTTAGCTGTAACAATCAACCTTGCAGGATCACTACCAGATGCAAATAAGAGAATATGCACATAAAGGCCACTTTGTAAACTGTACGTCACTGCAGAAATGGAAGGCATGATTCTCAGTGATGACACACGTCACGTGATTTGACCCCCAAAACAAGCCTATCGAACTGGTGAACTACTGCCTGTGATTTACAGAAAAGAAAGGTGCAGCTCTCTTCCAAGGGGGTCGATGTCTTGCCTGAGCTCAACAGACAAGTAACAGAAAGAGTGAGCACAGAAGTTGGGAATGAACCTAAGTCAGATGATGCCAAAGTCTGAAGTTTTTCTCTAGTTAGGAATATTATTACAGAGGATTAGATTCAACGGGATCTGAGAGGAAAAGGAGCATTTTTATGGCTAGAGGGAGAAGGGGGTTCACCCATGACTCACCCCTGTGTCAACCCCTAGATATTAAGAATCTACATAAATGCCTTTCAGGATTTGACCAAGGCAAGTACTGAGCCCATGTTTATTTAAAAAGACTACAGAGCATTTTTTCCATATGGAAATCTTTGCCCATAATACTCTTCCCAGCACAGCGTAAGGCAAACTGCCGGGAGCCAGATAGGAGATGATTCTTTACTGTTCCTCCCAATCTCAGTGCTGCTAGAGTCATCAAGGCTTTACAAGGCAGGGAGAGGAGCCATTGCGTTGTGGATTTGGAAGGAATTCCTATTATGCTATAATTCCAGAATCTGAAGCACATCTGAAAAAGAGGTCAAAATGACGAGATTTTTCCATATCTCCTGCCATAGACAGGTGTCTGCTTTCTCTATAACTTCAGATGATTTGCATCTCCAAAACCGCACTCTCAACTCCCCTGGCATTCCACTCTTTGTTGCGGGGACTATTCGGACTGGGGCAAGGGCATCCGAATCAGGCAAGCCTTCTCTTGTGGTTTCAAACAAACCTGACACGGTAGGAGAAGGCAGGAGGCAGGAGGCGGGAGGCAGGAGAAGGCAGGAGAAGGCAGAAGGCAGGAGAAGGTGCGGGCAGCAAGCAGCAGGATGATGAGATTTCCAGCTCTGGGTGCCCCTCTGCCCTCCCTGACTGTCATTCACGCCCTCTGATCAGAAGCAGATTCTGGATGCAGCCAGCTGGGCTCTAGGGCCAGTCATAATGGGAAAGTGGGAACGTGCTGTTGTCGTTTAATTTAAGCAGTAAGCTTTTCCAGAATTGAGTATACTAAAGAGAATTACTCACTTGTCCTCTGAGGTCTTTGCTTTTACTTTTTCCATGGGTGCTCTGGTACTTAATGGCAGGTAAGTGGGCAAGAAGACCTCATGAGGAGCCCACATGTCATACAGGCCTCCAGCTGAGATACAGGGGCAGCTGGATCAGCAGCACAGTGCAAAGAGCACTGGAGTGAGAGTCAAGAGACCTGGCTTCTAATCAACCAAAAACGAGGAAAGAGCAGGAGATATGATTGTGTTCAAAGGCTGGAGTTCCTCTCCTGATTGTATTTTTACCAGATAGAAGGTCTTGGCTAAGTCACTTCACCACTTTTTGACTCAGTTTACTCATTTACAATAAAAACAGTTAACATTTATTGAGTATACTGTAGGTGCCAGGCACTGAATTACTTTCCATACATTAGCTCATTTAATTCTGAAAACCTTAATAAGTAGACATATTATCTCCATTTAACAGATGAGCCTACTGAGGCTCAAAGAGGTTAATTAACTTGCTACGTTCCATAACAGAAGAGCTCAGCTGTGAACCAGAGCTTAGGCATTTAACTCACGCTAAACTGAGAGCCCTAAGAATGAATGCCTCGCTCTCAGGGTTTCCTCAAGGATGAAATGCTTGAACCCGGTCCACAGGTTTCTACAGCACACAGTGGACCTGACGAAGGATAAGGATTACTGCAGTATTTTCTTGCCTGGTCTTTCCTGGACCTGTAGGAGAGCACTCTCCCAACCTATTTTGCTGCCATTGTATGGCAGGAGGAAGCAGGGCGGTTGCTCATGCTATAACCAGGGCCACAGCACATGATCGCTTCAACAAAGCCTGGGAGGTCAGAGAGCATTTTAGTTAAAACATCAACATGAGCTGAAGAGAGACATGAGGCACAGCCAAGCTCTTAGAAACAGATTTTATTTGGAAATGTTAGCATCTCCTGAGGAGGAAGGGACGGGTCTTGGCAAAAACAGGAAAAGAGCTGTTGACCGAGAGTTTTGCTTGAAGAAGGAAGAACAGAAGACAAGCATGGACCCCGAAAAAGCTACTTTAGCACCTAGGTCCACCTAACCCACAGTTACAAAGCGCGTGCCCACAAATGACAGCACTTGATTCTTAGAGCAATCCTTACGTGTGAATTCAAACACCACTCTCATTTTACAAATGAGGAAAATGAGGGCTAGAGAAAGCAGTGATTCGCCTAATTCGCAGAGGTAGGGGGTGGCAAGGCCCCTGAAGAGTGTCTCTTTCCAGGGGTGCCAGGTCTGGGAGCAGCCCACTAGGCAAGCCCGGGCTAACCCCTCGCAGAGCGAAGAGCTGACATCCCTGTCCCTGGGCTATTCTTATCTTAACCTGTAGTCGGCTTCGTAAAATCATTCAATTAACTGATCCTCCAAGGGTCAAAAGCACCTGTTCAAACCTCAGTATGAGATACTGTGCGATTATTTGCCTTCCATTACAAATGTCTTTTCCAGGCAAAGCGATTCCTCCTAAAGGACTCAACCCGACAATGTCAATTTGGAGCAAACAGCAAAATCAGATTTTTATATTTCTCAGTTTCTGAACACAACGATCCTTAGTCCACCCTTAAAAACTACTCCAGCTGCCAAATGGACTGTTTTTCTTTAAAGGTTGGAAAGAATTCCACTAGCCTCCCTTCCCCCTCCCCAATTTCAAACTGTTGATTGTGTGCTTGGTTTACGATGTTATTAAAAAACAAAGAGGGGTCTCAAAGTTTACAACCAACCCCCAGAGTGGGGAAGTCAAAAGAAAAACTTCATGAACTGTGGTTCATGTACCATCAGCAGCTTACATTAGGTCCAGAGCAGGCAAAAGTAGCCGACTGCCTATCCCCGTGAGCAGCTCCTTTGGACAAGAGAGCCAACCTCCCATCCAAAAGCGAGTCTGCAAGATGGAAAGAGGGCTTTGAAATAAGCCAGGCACAGGCGTGAAGTCCACATTTATTAGCTGTCGACTTTGAGCACATCATTTAACCCCTATGAGCTTTTGGGTTTCCATTGTATAATGGGGATACTAGCACTGATTTCACATGGAGTGTTGTTAATGCTAACTTCCTCCCTTCTTGACTTGCTAACACAGGCCAAAGATAAGTTTCCAGGCTACAGCTAATGCAAAGATGACTCAAGGATCTAAGACAGAATTTACGACTTTGATGCACATGATGCGGCTGTCTCACCCAGATGGCTGGGGTTCAAGGGCAAAGAACAAACAGAAAATACTGGACATGTGGAACGGACAGCTGTGAAAATGCATAACTCACAAATTACAAGACGGGATTACCCTCAATTCCTCACCCCCTCTCCTGCCCCAGATGGACACAACATCTAGAACAGGGCAGAGACCTTCCAAGCAGAGCCCAGGCGGGCTATACCCCAATTCCCACAAGGCTACCATTGCTCAAAACAATTCTGGGCTTGTCCAAATCTGTGTCACATTTTTGCATCCTCAGTGAGGACTTCATCCTTTAAGGGAAGATCTGGACGTAAGTCTGGACTTTACACTTGCATATGAGTAACCTGCTCAGCAATTAAGAGTTTGCAAAGTATTTCAATATTCATGATCTCTTTCACTCCTCACCGCAACGCTACGGCTGTGAAGCAAGATGGTGATCCCTAGTTCTAGAACCTAGGTCTCTGGATTTCAAGTCCCATTTTATTTTCACTTTGACACCAGAGCCACTGGATGAGAGAACTAAACAATACGCCAGAGAACACCAGTGGCATTATCACTGTCACAGCAGCACAGCGCCAGTATGGACAGACACAGAAAATGCCGTGCTACCTGATGAGCCATGTCCCCCTCCCCTGGGGCTCAGCTTCACGGCACAGTTGCTCAGAGCTCAGATGCTGGGGTAAGGGACAACTAGCTTCAAAACCCAGCTCTATCACTTATTAACCAAGTGGCCTCAGGCAAATTATTTTTACTCCATGGACCTCAGTTTCTTAACTTGCAGAAGAAAGATAAGAACCATATCTAGACTTCATCGGATTGTTGTGAGGATAATGCATGCAAAGTATTTTCGAAGGGTGCTTAGCATAATTTTATACTACTTTTAGTATATATGTGTATATATATATAGTGAGTGTTTTAAAACACCTTTAGTAACAGTATCAACTGCATGAAATAAACAGTGTTAGTCAAATGAAATTCTCCTTGACCTGCCAAGAGTCTGCTGGCTCAGACATTCTATCATTTGACACAGGGTAAGTCAGACAGGTTGAGCCTGGCAGTCTGGGCTCTTACCGCGAGGATGGCGATGACAATCCCCACAGCGCAGAGCACAGCATCATTTATCGTCTCTCCAGTTTTCAGGGGATACTTGATGCTCTCGTCATTGCAGTAAAACCCTCGATGGTAAGGCTTGATGGTGCTCGTCTCAATGATGAGGAAGGGCAGGCCCGCTGGTCAAGATGGAACCATCACACACACCGGAAAAGAAAAAGACAAGGGGAAACATCAGTGCAAGCAAGCCAAAGCAGAACGACCTACAGCAAAGACCACCCCGAATGACACCATCGACAGGGACATGAAGGCCCAGTGCTGGCAGCACTCTACAGCCTGTCGCGAGCTTCACTACATGCACCCGCTTTCCTTCTTTGGTCACCCCTAAGAAGAGAGTGGCATCGTCCTCTCAATTTGTCCAAGAACACCGCGGGAGGCAGTGGAAGAGCCAGGGCAGGAGCTTTCCCACTGCTCTACAGCATCCTGCTAAAAATGAAAGTCCAACTTATAATAATTACTAACACAGCCCAAAATCTCACGATGTCTCATTATGCCTCCTAGTGCGTTCCTAAGTGGTAACCATATCCCCCTTGAGAAACTCGTCCTGAGGCCATGCTGCATGGAGTACTGAAGGCCTTGGAGTCAGATCCCAGATCCACCACTTCTTAGCAATGGGACCTCTGGTTCTCACTCCATCTTTCTGAGCCTCAGTTTCCCCACAAATGAGTTGTGGTGATGACTAAAGGAGAACAAAGCACATAAACCTTCTAGCAAAGTGCTGGCACACAGTAGCTGCTCAATGAATGCCATCTGCAATCCTTTTCCTTCACTGTTCAGAGTCACTGACAAGACTGAGCAGAGCCAAGCCGGGCCCTGTAGCCTGCAGACCTGGAGCAGAGCCCAAGGGCCTCCTGGAGTGCCAGACCGCTCCTGCAGCTGCTGCTAGTTTATCAGTAACTGGCTCAGATGCCATTCTCTTAAAGGTCATGGCAAACGGATTCCATCACCTGCCAGGAAAAGTCCCTTACAACCCTGAAGCAAAAAGTGAATGCCCACAATCTCTCTTGCTTGGATCCTGCAATAGCCTCCAAATCGGTCTCCTGACCTTCGCTGCCTCTTACACAGATCCACGTCTACTTCCTGACCACAAGCACGCCTTGCCTGGCTCAAGCCTCTTCATTGGTTCCCCATTGCACAGAACAAGATGAAGTGCTTAAGTGGGACCTCCAGAGCTCCCTATGACCTGAACCTCTCGGCTCCAGACTCAAAGTGTGCTGCTCCCCTTGACATGTCCTCTAAGAAAACAATCCACAAAACTCTGTCTTGGTTCTTGCTCTTCTCTTAGACTAGAAGGTCTCTTCCTCCCCTACCACCAAGTTCAATACCGAGCCCCAATGCCACCTCACAAAGTAAAAGGTGAGCCACCGATGTTCGGACTAGGGAAGACCAGGAAACACATCTTGTTCATGCTAACAGCCACCACTGATGTGCACCGACAACATGTAAGGTACTTTATATCCACTTGTCTGCTAAACCTTCCAACAAGCCTGAGAGGTCATTTTAACGCCTCACTTAAGCACTCCTATCGCTCGCCTTTCAAGGGGAGAGAACCGAGACTCAAAGAGAACACTTAGCTCACTCTAGTCTCTTAGTCTCACTCCAAAACGCCTAAATCCCTAATTTAACTTTGCAAATTGGTTTCATCCAAATGTGAATTTCATTAGCTGAAAAATCCTAAGATAAGCGGTTGTTTAAAAGGTAAAATTCCATTTTCATGTTTTTCAAAAAGAATTAAATTCACGTCATGTTACTCGAAGCCCCAGACCGCCTCTTAAAAAAAAATGTACCGTGAACTCCACAATTTTTCAATTACTTTGGTCCAGACCAGCAGTGATAAAAATGCTCACTTTCTAAAAAGTGTATTTACGTATCACTGTGCATACACACATGGATTTATTTGGTTTTATTCTTTGGATTTATTTGAATTCTACGGCTATTTATTTTGTGAGCCCCTAACTGCTTCCTGCTAGAACAACAATTTACTTTATCGAATTCATACTGGCGCTTTGAAAAGAAAGAACGGCAACACACCGCAGCCTTGTGTCTGACCTCCTCAGAGTAAACACAAGGGGCCCGTGGAGGCCATCACCCCCGGCTCTTGGAACCCTGTCTCTGCAGTGGAGTGCTGGGGGCACGGGGAGGCAGTGGACAAAGCTTCTGGCTTAGAGATGGTGAGAGCAGCTAGCTGATCTTTTGGGGTTCGGCGCAGGCAGAGAAAAGATATCATATGGGCCTGAACCATCCATCTTCAGTCCACTGCCGACACATTTTGAAATGTGGCCAAGTTGGCCACGAAAAGTAGCTGAGAAGCCAGCAGTATGATATTAATAGTCTGCTTTTAAAGTTCCACACATCGCGATAAAATCGCCGCACTGCACGTCCGCGCCCGGCTGCAGCCTCTGTGGTGCCCACGAGCCAAAGCGTTGCCAATAAACCCAGGAAGGGAACAGACCCTGGGTGCCTTCCATTTGCACTACACTCTCAGGCCTCCAGCTTCTATTTTTAATAGTGTTCACATGATAGGCCTGTAAAACATATGTTTCTAAGGACAATAAAACACATATAAGAGCTGTGGAGTTAGATAGAACAGGGTTAATGATCTCCACTCTGCTCCCTCCTACTTGAGCAGGTTATTTCACATCCCTAAAAACCCCTCATCTGTTCAATGGGACAAGCGAAATCTAGCTTTGGGATTGCTGGGACGATGTCAGGAGTTAAGGTATTAACTCATTCATTTATTCAACAAATATTTAGTGAGTCTTAACTATGTATACGGAATACAAAGATGACACAAGACCTGCCCTCAGGGAGCATACAATCTAGTAGGACAGAACACGTATCGTCGACTAAAATCAACACAGGAAGTTGCTTCAGCTGGAAGACACCAGACAGCAGCACTGGGAATGGCAGCGCCGTCCGGCTGACACTGTGGACTCTCAACAAACGTGAGAAGGAAGAAGGGGGCGAAGTCCCACAGAGAAACCTAGGAAAGAAAATCTATGCGCTCAGCTCCTTCACTCTCTTCACCTGGGAGCAATCCAAATCCTTTTTCTTCCTTCCTTGTCCAAGGCTTGAGGAGGGTTTCCGGTTTTGATTATGTGGATGAGGACCACAAAGAGACAAGAAGTTGGATCTGAATATGTTCTGTTTATTTTCTTGAAAGGCGTGGAGATAGCATTTAGAAAAACCAATGGCTTTTCGGTCTCCCCTACAAACTTGTGGTATGACTGGGGGTGATGCCAGTGAAATCTTGACTTTGTTCCAGGAAGAGAGCAACCTCCGATCCCTCCAGCGGATGAAAAAAGCATAAACATTTCCCCCAACGGGGCAGCTGGTCCCCAAGAGACAAAACACCACGTCTTACCTCTCCAAGACACAAAGAGACTGCTCTTTTCCAAAGCAGCATCTCCGTTTCTAACTTTGGCACCCTATTTATTACCAACCACTATAGTCCCTGATCACGTGATTTCAAGAAAATCCCCAGTGCTAGTCTCTGGGAATCTAGAGGTGAACAGGTCATAGTGCCTGCCCTCAAGAGGCTCATGGTATTGGAACAAAGTCACAAAAACAAGTGCTCAACAATATTTCTAGTGTGAGGACTGATATATGTACAGAGTGCGACAGGGGTACAAAAGACTGCCCTACGTGACTCGAAAGATGGCCCACAGAGGATGGGAGGCTTGGCTTGACCTGAATATGAGGAGAACGTGTCCGGGGTCCCAGGGCTAAAAGTACGTTCATGAAAACTCAGTATAGTTTACTGATTCCAATAAGGCAGTCAACCAAACTGATGGCCATTATGAGATTACAATTTTAAAAGTAACTATAGTGCTGGAAGAGATACACAAATAAACAATGAAAGAAAGGAAAAAACAGCACAGAGAATAATAATAATAACTAACACTTACTAAACAGCTATTATGTGCCCAAATTGTGCTGAGGATCCCCACATAAACTACCGCAGCCTGACAATCTGGCTGCCGACTACATTCTAGGCACTGACTGGGCTAGTGAAATGAAGGAGTGTAAGTCCCAACCTTCAGGTGGCCCAAAGGCTAATGGGAGAAAGGGTTATAAAAACTAACACCTTAAGTCACCCTAAGGTTCAAAGGGATTAAAGTGACTTACCAGAGTCACTCTGCAAGGAAGTGGTGGAGCTGGACGGGGTTCAAATTATCTGACTCCTGGGTGCTTTCTAAAGTGAGTGAGTCACTTAAAACAGAGAGCAGGAGGCACCTATGAGTATTAATAGATTAACTGAAGCTCAGCAAACCTCATGGTCTTCGAAGGAAAAAAATGCTTTGTTTGGAACCGTCAAGGCACCAGCACTGGCTATTGTTCACTGAACACTGACCATGTACCACGCACGTGCTCAGTATCTAAGTGAACCAAAGCCCTGAAGCCAATATCCTGGGATTTAGATTCATCTATAACGAAAGGTACATTACGAGCTTCTTGCAAAGCAGAACCAAAAAGAGTGTGTGTTTATATATACACTTACATATACACACATACATATATAAACACACACATACCGTTTGGCGGTTCTAGACCCAGACTCAAGCATTTCTCCTTCTTTTAATCAAGGATCAATTAACTTCCTATCCTCCAGGGACCTCTTGGGATGTGTAGGCTGCAGAGGAGGTGAAATATGAACTCACTGACAAACACTTAATGCGCAGAAAATCAAAGCATGAAGAAAGGCCCCTGTGTTGAGTTCAGGCCTTTGAAACTTCTTGGGTTTTGAAAAACCAACAGTTGGGCAGGTTGGGTGGTTTAGGAGTGGGGTGTAAAAAAACAGAGGATAAGTTTTCGCGGCCCACCCATTGATAAAGTCATGTGGGAAGTGTTACAGAAGTGACCCAGCCTGAGATCCCTGCTCCCCTCAGCCACAGCTTCACATTTGCACAAAATTAAACACAGCCTCCTGCCCTCAGCGTTTCTTAGAAAGCCCTTGTGAAGGCAGGGGAAGAGTGGGGGTGGGAGAGTGAATGGGAAATCTTTGTGCTTTTGCAGGACCAAAATCAGAGCATCAGGGAGGGGCTTCCCATGGCTCCTGTATACAAGTCCTTCAAGTGTCTTTTCCAGAATTGTCCACCCTTCCCCTTAGTCTGATCTG